GCTGCTGCCTCTTCTGCTGCTGCTGCTGCTGCTGCTGCTGCAATAGTTGCTGCTGCTCTCTCAGCAGCAGCAGCAGCAGCAGAAGCCTGAAACTCTTGTATAAAGAGAAGCAGCAACACGTATTTCAATTAAATATATGCAGAGTTTGTCTGTCTGCTGCTGCAGTAAGGAGAAGACAGCAGCAACAGACTCGGGCTTGAGCCTTAAGGCCTCCTGCTGCTTCTGCTGCTGCTGCTGCTGCTGCTGCTGCTGCTGCTGCTGACGACGACGGGAGGCAGAGCTGCTGCTGCTGCTTCTTTTTTGCTGCTGCTAGCTTTTATTAATCTCTTTTTATAATCAACTGTAAATAGAAATAAATAAAAAGTTTTTTTATAAACTTTTTATCGATGCTACACACGAAGAAGAGCAGCAGCAGCAGCAGCAGTAGCAGCAGCAACAGCTGTTGCAGCAGCAGCAGCAGCAGCAGCAGCAACAGCTGCTGCTGCTGCTGCTGCGGCTGCGCAATCGCCCGCATAGAAGAGAACTGGCGTTTGTTGTGTTTATTTTGTTTATTTAATTAATTAAAATAAATAAAAAGTATTTTATTTTGTGTTTATATTTTTATTTTTTTTTATTTTCTCTTTTTTTTTATCCGCAGGAGTGCAGGCTCTCGGGTGTATAGGCAGACCGCTGGTCGCCGGTGGTGCTGCGGTGGTGCTTAGCTGTATTTTTGTGTTTTTTTTTATTTATTTTAATTAATTTAATTAAAATATTATTAAAGTTTTATTTATAAATATTTTTTTCGTGTATTTATCGCCCCATAACAACAAAAAAACAGAAAAGGAGCGGTGATACAGAACCACCGGTTCTTATACACTACGTGCTGTATTTTATTTGATTTTATTTTATTTTATTTTATTTTATTTTATTTTATATTTCTTTGTTTTATTTCTTTTTATTTTATTATATTTTATATTTCTTTGTTTTATTTCTTTTTCTTTATTTTATTTTATCTTATTTTTTTTGTTTTTCTGCATCTAACAAATTTACTGTTCCTGGGGTGTATGTACAGCTAGGCACGCGTGCATGTATCTATGCATAAATATATAAAAATATATAAATATATAAATATATATAAATATATATATATATATATATATATATATGTATACATATATATATATATATATATATATATAATATGTATATATATATGTTTATATACTAATATATATAGGAGATAGCTGTATAATAAAGAGAAAGGGGAGAAGAGACAGTAGCAACAACCCCACCTTATGTAATACAAAGGCAGCAGCAGCAGCAGCAGCAGCAACAGCAGCAGCAGCAGCAAAAGCAGCAGCAAAAGCAGCAGCAACAGAAGCAGCAAGAACAGCAGCAGCAGCAACAGCAGCAGCAGCAGTATTTGTTTTTTATTTCACAAATAAAATAAATAAATAAATTATAATAAATATAAATTTCGTCTCCTTAAACAAATCTTATATCCATTTGCATGCATGCATGCATGCATGCAGATATGCATGCGCATGCATATATATATATATATA